ACTTTATCTCACTTCTCTTTAAACTCTGTTCTAGTTGTAGCCTTCACAGCCTCCTGCAGCAAGGAGTTCCACAGGTTGACTCTTTGCTTTGTGAAGAAGAACTTTCTGTTACTAGTTTGAAGCCTGCTACCCATTCCTTTCCTTTGGTGTCCTCTAGTCCTTCTTTATGGGAACTCATGAAGAACTTTTCTGTATGCACCCTCTCCACCCAACTCCTGCTTTTAGAGACCTCTATCGTGTCCCCCCTCTGTCTCCTCTTTTCTAAGCTGAAAAGTCCCAGTCTCTTTAGCCTCTCTTCATATGGGACCTGTTCCCAACCCCTGATCATTTTAGTTGCCCTCCCCTCTCCCACCTCCTTTTCCCAATCTCTCCCAGTTTTGTTCAATAAAGACAGATTCCGTTTTGGAAGACACGTTATCTTTATTTTGTACATCAATAAGAAGGGGGGCTAGGGAAGGGTAAGTGGAAGGAGGTGAGGGAGGAATGGGGCATGAGCCCCTGATGGGGAGGACTGGGCTGGCTCTGTGGGCTTCTGGGGGTGGAAGCTCTCCTGCAGCCCCCCAATTGCCCCCTCTCCCCGGATGGCAGCCTGCTGCAAGTGCAGCCGGGATGATGGCCGAGTGATGTGATGTGCCCAGTGTGGGTAGTCCGGGCACTCCAAGCCAGGACTGCTTTGCAAGCGGGGCACCCCTGAGAACTGTCTGTCCGGGGTGGGGGTCGGGACCCTTTAAGCACAGCCCTCGGCAAGCATGAGACAGCATCTCCACGCTCTAAGTCCTCCTCTGATGCCCTGCCGGCACTGCTTCCAGCCATCCTTAAGCCCTGTTCAGGGTCCACTTAATGTGGACATGCTAGTTTGAATTAGCAAAACACTAATTCAAACTAGTTTTCTAGTCTGGATCAATTAGTTCGAATTAACTAATTCGAACTAAGTTAGTTCGAATTAATGTTGTAGTGTAGTCATTCTCTCTCTCTCTCTCTTTATATATATATATGAAAAGTTTTTCCTGACTTTGGCTGCATGACATCAAGCTCTCTGGCTGCTCTCCGGTTGGTGAGCATAGTGAGCAGGGGGTGGTGAGCGTAGCAAGCAGGAGGCAGCCCCCAAGTATTTGGAAAAAAGAATGATGCTGTCTCGGTATAAAACATTTCCAAAAGACTGTAACAGGAAAAGAGTCAAGACAGAGGTTTGTTTTCACTTTGTGCACCCATTTATATGCTATATATTTATAGAGAGAGGATTTTTTTAAAGTAAAAAGTAGTCTTTAGTACTTTTACAATTTCTTGAAATGACTCATTGATTGAAAAATTAGGTCATAGAGCCTTGTCAGATAATGATAGAATTTCTATATACAAAAGGGTAAGTATTGTGAATATATTATTTTGAGAGACAGATCCTTAATAACATCTCTAATTGAATTTGATCAATTCATTTTCTTCTTTATTTCATAGGGACAGAATGCTGAAATATGTATTTTTTAATGGTGCTCCATGTAGTTTCATAAAAGTCAGTGGACACTCCTCTGATGAAATACATGTTTTGTTGGTAATGTTTTCATTCACATAGTTTCTCAGCAAATATATACTTTCACTAAATTTTTAGGAAACTTTGACATAACTTTTGCAAATAGTTAATATTATCTCAGCAACACATGTTGTGAATTTAGGTTTAAGATTATAATTTTTACAAAATAATGACCAAGCTAACGTGTTTTCATCTAAGTTTATTTGACCTGATTGCTCTTGAAATTTCAGTAATTTGTTTACATACACTATTCCCTATTTGATTTTGTTTTGTTATTAATTTCTATAATAAACACTTCCTGCAAGGATGCTAGTTGAAATGAAGTGTCAGGATAAGAAAATTCAGAATTCATCTTCTTTTGTACAAACATACTTAAGGAATCACAGACGTCCTATATGCCAAATATCACAATTTGAACAAATAATTGCTAAAAACACACAAACTATCAACTGTGTCTTCCTGCCAGAAAGTGTCTATAAGTAAACTAGTTTTGCATTTTCATTGCAGTGTAAAGATCCTCAATTTTCCTGTTAGCGATAAAAAACACAAAATACAACAAATGCATTGCCACATTAAAATCTACATTTCATTGAATCTCATTTTATGGGGAATTGTCCAAGCCTGGATAAAATTATTTGCATGCATATAAATAATGTTGGTATGTGCTTAGAAAAAATCAACAAAAATAAAATAATAATATTACCTGTCACTCTCAAATGACTTGTATAAATACCTTAGCCTCCGGTACTAACATTTAAAAAATAACTCACACCCTGTGCTTTCTGTATTAAGATCTCATAGCTGTAAGTAACATTTTATTACCTGAGATTGCAGAGAGTATTTAGTTTCTCACTGTAGCAAATTAGCTGTGAAGGTAATACGATTTGAAATGGACCTTTTAAAAGCCAGGCCAAGTAGCTCTCTTTCCACATTGTTCAAGGTTAATTATATTTATCAAGGAGGCAGTAAAAAGGGGCAGTGGAGATGCTAACAGATTGATGGGAACAACCAATTGGTGGTACATTTCCAACATTTTCTGTTTCTCAAAGTTGTACTTATTGATAAAATCAGAATGTGGACTGTGGTGAATTATTTTTGTTGTGTTTATGCATAAGAAATTAGGACAACAAATTAACATGCTTTTCAGAGCTGCTGTATTCATAACAAGAATCTGTGGCAGATTTTATTAATTAGTGGATAAATGTGAAAAAATGTGAAGCATAAATATTTATAAAAATGCAGAGCAAGGTTCACATTCATTTTGAATGCTTTTTTGTTTAGAAATACTCTTTCAATTATCAGTAATATTTTACATTGCACATTCAAAGAAAGTAGTAGGCAACTCTAGTTAAAAACAAAAGACATTATTTAGCAATAATTTGGATAGGAATATATCCTTTATAGTGCAGACATCTAAAACTCCTACCTCTCAGTGGATTCATCTGTATTTTCATCTGTGATCATTTGCAATTCCTGTATGTTTTTACTTGAATCTTCTTTGACACAATTTTCATCCGTGCTAGCTTTGGGGATATGCTCATTTGCTTGCAGCTGTTCTATCAGGCTTTGTTGATGCCAGGTTTCAATAGAACGGTGGTGCACAGGGGTTGGACCTGGCACTGGTGCCGGTATATTCTGGTGGACAGGGCTGTTGTTTTTCTTCAGTCCATTTCTGTCCCGAGAGTGGCTCTTCAACCTATTCTGAACTGGTGTGCCTCTATGCTCATATCCTTCCTGAAGGCAGCTTCCAGTGCCTGTGGAAGCTTGTGAGGGGTGACTGAACCACCTCCAGCGTAGCCTTAGGATCTGTTTCACATCAAACTCTTTCTTTCCAGAAACTGACATTTTTGCAGGAAAAGAGAACAAAAGCCTATTCTTTTAGAAAGGAAATGGATTCTTTGTTATCGCTTGTATTCCAGTGCCTCTTCTTAAGAAAAGACAACAAAAGAACAAATACCAGTAGCCCTCTTTTTTCTGACTAATACACTGCTAGCACCTCAAGCCAATGCTAAGCTGCTGCTAACAGTATAGGTGGGAATCCATACTGACAGGATGCTGAGGTCAGACCTTAAACAAGTAAATCAGCTTAGCACAGGAAAGCAGCTACCATACCACTACCCAGTTGCTAAGCTTACATACTGACAGCACTATAGCACAGCCTCCCAGATATAACCTACTCTCACATGATCCTGGGGGATCTTAGGCAGCAACTTAAGATTCAGGGAAGCACATACAAATAAAGCAGTAAAATGTTGTTTCCTATGAGATTTTGCATGAAGCCTGGTAATAAATAATACTGTATTTCACTACAAAATTATGAAAGGTGAACTATTTATGTGGGTTTTGCTAATGATTTACTGTGAAAGTATCGTGTAGCTCCCATTTTCCTTAATAGGTTTACCACATTTATTGCAGTAGAACTCACTTTAGTATGTGACATTTCTATAAATAGCCTTACGTTTCAAGGTGCTTACCTAAGGAAAATGAAAGCATTTAAAATACATTGTGCAGTAGTGTATGAAATATTTTCTTAACTAGGGGTGGCATTTCTTGTATCATTAACTAAATATGGGTTCAAAAAAAGAGTGTTATAAAAATCAGAGTAGAAACCTTCCCTAAATGATGATATCTGTGAAAAACATAATGCTTCCTGGCTAAGTGCCTATGTAAACAAGCCCTTGCCCTTTTTACAGTCTCTGCAAAAGAGTGGGATTTTTTTTAAACCATTCTTTTGATAGTGTGCATCAAAACATGTTTTTAACAAAATTCATTGTATCATCAAGATTATTAGATGAGCATTAAATGTACAGAACTGAGTGAAGTGTATTATAAATATTGAATACTAATGCACATTATGTTGTAGCACAAAAAAGTAATAGTATTAGAAAAAAACACTCAGTTTGTCTGTCATGGAAGTATCTTATGCAGAGTTATCTGTGTTTTCTAAATACTCTTTCAAATAACTGTTAGTGGAATTCAAACCTCTAAAGAATGAGGTTCAGTTTGGATAAGTTCTGAAAAATGTGGATACTGATCCAAAGTTAATGGAACATTTTCCCCTATACCCAGTATTTTTGCTCTCTCCCCTCTGACCTACCTTTACTGTTCTCCATTTTCCTACTATTTCTCTGTTTTGATCTGCAAAATGCCACTGTCCAACAAAGCTCAGATTCTCAAATCCATTTTCCCTTTCTCCTCTTTGGAGTCAGGGAGCCATCCAGACTTCATTTAAGTTGGGCTTGAGGTTTCATACCTGTTCACATCATCCATGCCAAATACAGACAGTATCCTGGGATGGAGCAGTTTGAGATTAATTAGGAGACAGAGGGAAAAAAGAGTCTGAGTGAAAAGGAAGAAGTGAAATAATGAATAAACCAGAGGGTGGTTTAGGTATATGTGGGTGGGGAAAGAAATTATTTGCAGGTGCAGTGCTTAGGGAATCTATCTGTATAATCTAGGTTGTTCGTATTACAACACTGTTATGACATTTTGTATTGTGGAATGCCTCTCTGTCTCTATGTCCAGTTGCTGGCAAGGGTACATTACATTGTTTACACAGCAATGGTATGCTGTGAGGACTTAAGGAACCCCTACTCAGATGGAAACACCAGAATTACAATGTGCTGGCCAGATCTGGGGACCTCCCTCAACTTGTCTGAAAGAAGGGCAGAAATGCAAAAATCCCAAATGAGAGAAAGAGGGCAAAGCAGGAGTTTAAAAGGGACTCAGAGTGGAGTCGGAGAGCCACACTGGAAGTTTTGGGCAGGAAATGAAAAGGGGCGGACTAGGCAAGGTCAGAGAAGGCGAGCTGAGGAAGAAGGTTCCTTGTTTCAGTGAGTGAATATGTCCACTACATTAGGTGTGTGCCTGGGGTGGGAGTGGGGGCACAGAATTGCCAGGCCCCTGGGCAAGGAATCAGAGACTGGCTCCATGCTCCTGAATGAGGAGAAGCAGAAGGGTCAGGACTGGGGGAAGTTAGCCTTCAGGTCTGCCCAAAGCATTCTGCACTCCCCCTCCTCCCCCAGACCTCAGTGCTTTCTAGAGCATAACGTGTACTGCCCTGGCAGCAACATTAAAGGCCTGGGGCTTCATCCGCCACTGCTACTGTAGTAGCAGTGATGGCAGTAAGGAGTCATGGACCCTTTTGAATCACCAGGACCTGAGACAACTGCTTCTTTTATCTCCTGAGTTAGTGGCCCTGCGTGTGCACCTCTCGTTCTCTATTGCTGGAAATTTTTCCTTAGCAATATACCTACACATAACTCTGTACCAAGCCAGGTATCAAGTGGTCAGCTAATAACAATGGAGGTAGGAATTTCAAACTGGAAAAGAGGGTTTTTTTTGTCTGTTCTTTGTTTGAGAGGCAGAGCGATTTTTCCCACGTATTAAGGGAGATGGGAGAAACTTTTGTCTCCGGCTACGTCTACACTGGCCCCTCTTCCGGAAGGGGCATGTAAATTTCAGCAGTCGTCGTAGGGAAATCCGCGGGGGGCTTTAAAAATCCCCACGTTTTTCCCTTTTGTAACTAAGCTTTTAGCCCAGGGACTTTCCCTGAGTATCTATATCAATTGGTGGCTCTTCCCATCTCGCTACTTTACTATGCTTGTAACTGTAGTGTTGTTTTGATAATAAAGGATTGTTTTCTTTTCTAATTAACCGGGATTGGTTGATTGTTGTGTCCTTAGGACTCAGCCTAGTTACAAGGGCAGATGCCATTGTTGTCTGTTGATCCCCTCTGTTTTTCCCAACGCCAAACAAAACAGAGGTTGGAGCAGGGGGAGAGTTTTACCTGAGGGTGGAGATTTCCCAAGTGATCATGAGATGATTGATTTCAGGATTCTGGCAAAAAGAAAAAAGGAGAGCAGCAAAATACACACCCTGGACTTCAGAAAAGCAGATTTTGACTCCCTCGGGGAACTGATGGGCAGATGCTACTATGAAGGGAAAAGGAGTCCAGCAGACCTGGCTGTATTTTAAAGAAACCTTATTGAAGGCACAGGAACTAACCATCCTAATGCACAGTAAGAAAAGCAAATATGTTAGGTGAACAGCTTGGCTTAGCAGGGAAACCATTGGTGAGCTTAAACACATAAAGGAAGCTTACAAGAAGTGGACACTTGGAAGGATAACTAGGGAGGAGTATAAATATATTGTTCGAGAATGCAGGGGAGCTATCAGGAAGGCAAAAGCACAATTGGAATTGCAGCTAGCAAGGGATGTGAAGGGTAACAAGAAAGGTTTCTACAGGCACACTAGCAACAAGGTGGCCAATGAAGGTGTGGGATGCTTACTAGATGAGGGAGATAACCTAGTGACAGATGATGTGGGAAAAGCTGAAGCACTCAATGCTTACTTTGCCTCTGTCTTCACAGACAAGGTCACCTCTCAGATTACTGTACTAGGCAACAAATTATGGGGAGAAGTGGGCAGCCCTCAGTGGAGAAAGAACCGGTTAAGAACTATTTAGAAAAGTTGGTCATACACATATCCATGGGACCAGATCTAATGCATCTGAGGGTGCTGAGGGAGTTGGATGATGTCATTGCAGAGCTATTGGCCATTGTCTTTGAAAATTTGTGGCAAACAGGGGAGGTCCCAGACAATTGGAAAAAGCAAATGTAGTGCCCATCTTTTAAAAAGGGAAGAACGATAATCAGGGAACTACAATTCAGTCAGCCTCACCTTAGTCCCCAGAAAAATCATGGAGAGGATCCTCAAGGAATCCACTTTCATGCACTTGGAAGGGAGGAAAGAGATCAAGAACAGTCAGCATGGATTCACCAAGGGCAAGTCATGCCTGACCAATCTGATTAGCTTCCATGATAAAGTAACTGGTTCTTTCAATATGGGGAAGTCAGTGGATGTGACAAACCTTGACTTTAGCAAAGCTTCTCATATCTCTCCCACAATATTCTTGCCAGTAAGTTAAGGAAGTAAGGATTGGATAAACAGACTGTAAGGAGGATAGAAAGATGGCTAGATTGTAGGGCCTAATGGGTAGTGATCAATGGCCCTGTGTCTGGTTGGAGGTTGGTTTCACGTGGAGTGCCCCGAGGATTGGTTTTAGGCTGGTTTTATTCAGCATCTTCGTTAACGACCTGGATGAGGGGATGGATTGCACTCTCAGCAAGTTTGCAGATGATAAACTAGAGGGAGAGGTAGATATATTGGAGGGCAGGGATAGGGTCTAAAGTGTCCTAGACAAATTGGAGGATTGGGGAAAAAAATCTGATGATATTCAAGAAGGACAAGTGCAGAGTCCTGCACTTGGGATGGAAGAATCCCAAGCATTGTTATGGGCTGGGGACTGACTGGCTAGGCAGTGATTCAGCAGAAAAAGACCTGAGGATTGCAGTGGATGAGAAGCTGTTTGTGAGTCAACAGTGTGCTCTTGAAGCCAAGAAGGCTAATGGCATATTGTGGTGCATTAGGAGGCACATTTCCACCAGACCTAGAGAAGTGATTCTTCTCCTTTATTTGGCACTAGTGAGATCACATCTGGAGTATCTTGTCCAGTTGTGGGCCCCACACTACAGAAAGAATGTGGAAGCATTGGAGAGAGTAACCAAAATGGTTAGGGGGCTGGAGCTCATGACCTATGAGGAGAAGCTGAGGGATTTGGGCTCCTGCAGAAGAGGTGAGTGCCCTATCCCCTAAGCCACGTGGGAACCTGCCCCACCACCTTACCATGATGAGGTCCCTTATCCCACCTGCCTCAGGGCTGTCCGGCTGTCCCTCATCTCATACCATCCTGAACCCATGACCCTGTCCTCCACAGGCGAGTGCCCTAGCCCCTAGGCCATGTGGAAACCTGCCCCACCCCCTTGTTGCGGATAGGCCCTTTATCCTCTCCATGGTAAGGGGGTGAGAGGGGATTTCATAGCAGCCTTTAAGTACCTGAAAGGGGTACTTGAAAGGGGTACTCTGTAGTGACAGATGGCAGAACAAGGAGCATTGGCCTCAAGTTACAGTGAGGGAGGTCTAGGTTTGATATTAGAAATACCTGTTTCACTAGGAGGGTGGTGAAGCACTGGAATGAGTTACCTAGGGAGGTGGTAGAATCACCATTCCTAGAGATTTTTATGTCCCAGTTTGACAAAGCCCTGGGCGGGATGATTTAGTTC